CGCCTGATGCTGACAGCGAGGAGGACCCACACCTTGCAGAGCATCCTGCAGGTGAGAGCCCAGCTCTGGGACAACATCCATCAGGGCAAGGGGGCTGTGCTTATGTGGTGAGAGCCCAAAAATCTACCCCAGGCAGCTTAGGGTGGTGCTACCACAGCCAACAGCCAGCTGGGAGTGGGGATCTGCTGGAGGGCAGGAAGGGTCTGCAGAGGGATCAGGACAGGTTGGATTGATGGGCCAAGGCCAAATGCACAAGGTTCAACAAGGCCAAGTGCCAGGCCCTGAACTCAGGTCACACCAAACCCAGGCAATGCTCCAGGCATGTGGAAAAGTCTGGAAAGAACTGGGCAGAAAAGGACCTGGGGGTGCTGAACATGAGCCAGAGTGTGCCCAGGTGGGCAAGAGGCAAAGCAGGAGCAGGCAGTGATTGCTCCCTGTGCTGGGCACTGGTGAGGCCCCACCTCGAATCCTGGATCAGTTTTGGGCTCCTCATGACAGGAAAGACATTGAGGGGCTGGAGGGTGTCCAGGGAAGGGAATGGAGCTGGGAGAGGAGCTGGGGAGCATCAGCCTGGAGAAAAGGAGCTCAGGGGTGGCACAGCCATTCTGCCCATGACAGGAAAATAGCAAACTACCAACCCAAGTGCTGGATTTGATCTCAGGTAAAGCTCCATGACCAGAAGAGGAAACCCCATGATGAGGTTGTCTGCACATCAATGCACGTGCTGAGCAGCAGTGAGAAATTCCAGATTATTTCCTGCAGCCAACTCCATCTCCACCTGTTCCCCCACTGCACAAAAATGACAAATTCCCATCTTATCCAAGCACACCCCAAATCAGTGATCAGTATGTCAAACAAGGAAAGAAGATGCTGTGCAAAACATTTCCAGATTTATTTTAAACAGGTTTTAGCAATCAGCCAGCACCTTTTGGTTCGCCCTCGTTTGCCACAGGAGGCAAAATTTATCTTTCTTCAGTTTTCCCTTTTTCTTTTCATTATTTCAAAGGAAGTATAAAAAGGCCTGCAGCCTCACAGCATCCCAGGAACTTGGGTACCACTGCTAGAATCTGTGCAGAAGCCCAGGTTTTTCTGCCCAAGGCAAAACACAGCCAACCAGCCTCACTAGGGCTTGTTGGGCTCATTTCTTTGTCCTGAAATCAAAAAAAGAACACCCCAACCCTGCAAATACCATGCCTACAGCAATACCCACCTGGTTACTGCTGGAGCTCCATTCCTTGTGCAGATGAGCTGGGAAATGTGGCTTCATGGAGGCTTTACCTTGTGCTTCAGAGGCAGATCCCTGGAAAGCTGCAGTTACTGGTGCACACTTCTGTGAGCTGGGCTGAACAGGGACAACACAGGACAGGATTGTCCCACTCCCAGCCAATCCCAGCAGCGAGGAAAGGATCCCATGTCACACCAGTTGTGCTCACAAATCTCTGATTCGCTCTACAGGAGCCACTGAGCTCCCGCTCCTGTCACACAGCAATGCTGGAAAACTGAGCAGACCTTATCTTCCACCAGGATCCAACCTCAGACACAGTCATGGCTCAATCAACATTTGTTACCTCATCCTTTGCTGGCACAAGAGACTCCAGCTCTGAAGTAGGGCTAAATTCCTCCAGGGATCCAAAAAAGCTGTGGCTGTCCCATTCCTGGAAGTGTTCAAGGCCAGGTTGGACAGGAGAAGGTTGGACTGGTCTAGTGGATGGTATTCCTGTCCATGGCAGGGGACTAAATTATCTTCAAGGTTTCTTCAAACCCAAACAATTTTAGGATTCTAGGATCTGCCATAACAACCCCTTCAGTTCCTGAGCATCCCTGCCATGAACAGTGACTTCAGCAGCCACCTGCATGTCCCAGCACTGTCACCACCAGGAATGAAGCCAGGGATGCAGTGCTCCACAGTGGGCTGCCAATGTCTCTTAAAACCACATGTTAGATAAATGCAGAGAAGCACACAGCCCCATCATAGCCCCCCCAGCCCATCACTCTGCTCTCCTGCCCCTCTGCCTGCTCTGCTTTCCAGAAAATAAGAGTGGCTTCTCCTCTTCAGCAGAACCACTCAGACATGGCCAGATCTCAGAGCTCACCAGGCTCGCAGGAACCAAACCTCTTGGCTGCCAGGATGATGCCTCAGCAGTTTCTAAAAGTGGTGCCCAGTTCAGACTCTCCACAAGAGAAGGGAAGAAGCTGGAGCAGGTTTCCAGGACAAGCCTTTCTCACGCTGTAAGCTCCCACATATATCCAAGCACCTTCCGTGGACTCAGCACAGTCCTGCACCTCCACAGCACACACAGCTTAGGAGGAAGGAGTTGGTTGCATTGTCAAGGCCATGGCTGAGGGGGCTGAAACACTCCTTGAGGGCCAAAGCAATCACTTACCTTGCCTGGAAGATGTCAGGTCTCAATTCTTGCAAGCTCCCAATCATTTGATGTTTGTAGTTTTGCCCCCGCTAGCCTCAGCTGCATTTAAAGGGAATTGCTTCTCACCCTATGCTGACTCTGGGATGTAAGGAAGGCCCACAGCCCAGAATGGCACAGGCAGGTGGCAGCCAACAACTCAGAAACCATTGAGGAGGCGCCCACCCCGCTATGAGCTCTGGGAAGCATGCAGCATTCATCCAGTCCCCCTTGGATAGCCAACAGTGAAAAGCAGGAGGGAGGAGATTTGGGCAACCCATGATCCAAGCCAGGACTAGCTGCAGATCAGGAGCACAGGGCTTTTTGAAGGTTCCCACCTGATGGGAAGGGGAACACCATTAAACCATCAGGGAATTATGAAGGAGGGGGCAAGATACCCATGGGCTTCACTGCTGCCACAGCATCTGGGGCAAGGGAACCTCTGCTCCAAGCTGATCCTCCTGAAACATTCAGGAAGGGCCAGGAGGTGTTCTTCTCCTGGGGAAGCTCTCTCCAGCTGTAATTATGTCATTGGGAGCACAGGGAGGTTGTCACAGCTATGCATGACCCAGCAGCCTAGACCTAAGTCCTATACTAAGGTCTAGGTCCAGACTAGATCCTATACTAAATTCAAGGAAGCGTATGCAGCACTCTGCTTCCAACATCCCCCATCCTTCCAGAGCTGAGTGTTGGATAAAGTAACCAACCTTTCCTCTCTGTGGAAAGAAATCCTCTCTCCTCCCCCTGCAATTACAGCCAAACTTTGGTGAGCACCATCACCTCAAAATAAAGATACACTAATGCTACCCCACTGGTGACCTGCACTTGTGCAGAAACTACTTTTATTCAGTAGAGGAAGAGCTGGAGTATCCAGCAGCAACATTTCCTAGGATGTCAGTGCAGCTCCTGCAGATGTCCTATGTTTTGGTGAAGCTCACCTGCTGTAGCAGCTCCCAGGGAAACAACCACCCACCAGACCCTCGGCACACAGGTCTGGGGTCACCCAGCAGGAACCAGCACACAACCCTACACAGCTCTGGATAGGGTTTCCAGGGACTGTACAGACAGGACCACTACATCCCTTGTATTATGGGGTTTAGGCTTCTCCCTCACACATTGAAAACATCATTTACACAGCCACTTCAGGCTGAGCTGCAGCATGAAGATGCACAAGGGGGTGAGCAGATGCACATACACTTCCCATGTGTGCAGGCAGTCACCCCAAGCTGCCCTACACAACCCTCAGCAGGGTCCTGATTTCTTCAAAACCAAGGAAAAGCTGGAAATTCAAAATTAATGGAAGCATTTTCACACATGCATCAAGACTAAAGGTCAGGAATTCAGTACCTATCTACTTTAATATTATGTAGTTTATTCCAGCATTAATACTGACGGCAAGAGATTAAAGGTGATGACAAACCTGTGCTTCAGAGCTCAAGCTCATTTGTCACCAGAGCCCATGGAGAAACGTGCTGTAGAGATTTTAGTCTGCATTTTCCTGCTTCAGAACTCACCCCCCTCATCTTGGAACATGAGACCACCTCCCATGCAGGAACCAACCTGTATGACCCTTACAGTCGATTTATTCAGTACCTCATCAGGCTTTATTAGCAGCAGCATGACCCAGGCAGCACTGCAGCTCACCCAGGAGGGCTGCTGGAGTCGATCCTCTCATGTCCCCACCCTGCAGGCTCCTGAGCTTGTGACACCAGGAACATGGGCCAAATTCCAGCCCTTCTGTCACAAACCAGCAGAGGGCAGCTGGAAACGCAGCAGGGACAGGCACACGCTCGGTCAGTGCTCCACTGCTGAGCATTCCCCTTGCCCAGCACCCCAGGAACTGCAAGGACAGCCCAGCACACACACACAGCCCTGGAGCTGCTCCCATCCATGGCTCAGGGAAGCCCTCTGCCTGACCTGACAGGGCCCATGGCCAGCTGCTCCTTAGCTCACAGGGCTCACGTTGACAATTCAAGCCCAAACTCCCCCTGGCATAAGGAAAAGAATTTACTAACTTCCAGGGACCACTGCATGTGATAAAGATACCCCCTTGCTTACTCTGACCCTCTGCCAAAGCAGTAGGCAGACAGGAGCAGCAGCAGGATGGGTCTAAAAAAAATACACAATCTATATCCACAAAAACTGACAGAAGCCCAGATGTAGACCAGGATTTCCCCTGTCCCTCATCCAAGCTCCTCCATCATTCTACAGTCAATTTATTTTGCATTCAGGCTTTTTTTCCTAAGCCCATAAGAAGCTGGATTTTCACCTCACCTCTCTGTAGTGAGGAATTGGTCAGCACCAGCTTCTAAAGGAACGAGAGAGAGGAGCCCTGGAGTTGCTGGTGTGTTTGTGGCAGGGCAGCAGGATCTCTAGCTAAGATAACCTTCTTGTTGAGCTCCAGCCTGCACCAGTGCTGCCAGGTTCTTGCACAATCCTGGACAAGTCATTTAGGGCAGAAGTTCACAGAGAGCTCCAGCCAACTCCCAGATCGTGGTTGCTTTATTTCCCAGGCTCGATTTCAGGAACTGATTCAGCCCATGAAAGGGACAGATCACCAATGGGACCAAGGTGACAAAACCAGTAGAAATTCACAAGTACATTTCAGTAGCTAGAACTTGTTTATTCATAGTTTAATCAGTTCAGGATTATTCTTTGCAGTTTTTGAAGCAGTTATTTCTTCTGTCATGCTCGATCTTTTTAAAGAGGAACAACAGCCAGGAATGTTTTTCTGTTTTGCAGAGTGTGAGCAGCCAGGGGAAGCAAAGTAAGACACTTTCCAAGCACAGCACCCCAGAAGCACCCCATGGAAAAGAGCCAGACAGGGAGAGAGGGAGGCTGGTTCACACAAGATAAGGCAGCAGGGAAGGCTGGGTCAGCTCAGTGCTGACAATGCTCTTGCAATTACCACTCTGAGTTTGGTTTTAAAAGAAAGCAGCTGCTGCCATCTGCAAATCAAGACCTAGATGGTGGCCAAGTACCAGAGACACTGCTGTCTCTTGGGAACAGGAGACAAAATCACTGGTCTGTTTTTAGCTGTGTGCAGGAGCAAGCAGCAAAGGCAGCACGAGCAGATCCACCAGGCAAAACCAACCCAACAGCAACACTGAGATCTTGGGAGCCCTTCATACTCCCACCAGTTGGGCCCCAATGACCAAATTGCATTCTCTACTGGAGGACAATACCCACTTACATTTCACCTAGTGTAAATCCCACTAACACACTCCAAAACCACTCTGGGATGTGAAATAGAGCACATAAAGGACAGAGAACTCAGGAGATTTGTACATCAATCCAATGTAACACTAAAGCAGCTGCATAGCTGCACTCTGTCAAATCTCCTTTCTGAGAACCCCTTAGGACAGGAAGGGCAGACACAATCCAGGCAGAGGCAGTGAAGCACAAAGGGAACCACCCCAGGTCAGATGAAACAGCACAATCCTCGGAAAGCCCTTCAAGGCCACAGGCAACAGCTACTGGGGGTGTGTGACAGGTTTGTGTAATGCCATGAAACCAACTGCTCAGGAGCCTGGGTGACTCAGTTCTGTTGGGGAAGATGCCACTGCTCCTGAAAACTCTTCTTTCACAGGTCCTATCAAATGTGCCCATCTCTACTTACTTGACACCTTCCCCACGTTTTAATTAGGGTCACACTATGTATAATGCCCAGCACATTACTGGGAAGGAGAGGGAGGAGAGGAGTGAAGAACACAGCTGACCAAAGAAGCTGCCTTCTGGGAAAGCTGCAGAGAGCTCAGCCTGTCTCCCTGATCTCCCAAACACCTCAGTAAAGATGACCCTCACTGTATCTGATGTTCAACAGTGCCGTTTCTTCCATGGCTTAAGTTTCCCATTGCCCCACAGGGAAACAGGGAAGGGAGGGAAAGAAAAATCTCACGACTCCAACATGACAACAGAGCAAAGGAAAGCTTGGAGAGAAAAAACAGCCACCAATTTAATACAATCTTAGTACCAGTCAGCATTACAGCAGCCATGCAGAGTCTATGCCTGCACCAGAAGGTACAGAAACAGCAGGATTAGCTGAATCAGCTTATATACAGTGGAAAATTTCCACATATCATCTAAATCAGCAAGGGAGGGACTGAGCTTAGGTTATGCTCAAAATTATCTTCTGCTCAGGAAAGCAAGTGCTGCCCTGGAGCACTCTTCCCACCAATAATCAACCTTGGACTCCAGTGTCTTGGTTTGGATTTCAGGTGCAAGTATGTTCCCTACAAAAGGCAGGGCTTTTTTCCACATTAACTACTTCCCTGCTTAATCCTCGATTTCCATATGTCAACTCCACTGACAACAGCACAGTGGGAAAACAAACTGTTTATCACCACAGCACACAGGAGTTTACCTGATACACTGTGGGTGTGTTCCCACCTACTCCCTACCCCTCTGTAGCAGATTTGCTCTCCTACCTCCTCTTCCCTTGCAGTCCTTTTGGTACCAGCTTGACCCTGAAAAACAGGGCCCACTGGTTCACCAGGAAAATATTGTGCAGGATGTCACATTTCCATGCAATTCCTGAATGTAACTTACATTACATCCTGAATGTAACTTACAGTACAGCTTCATGGAGCTGATGGGAAGGATGTGTGGGAACACAGCCCAGACAGGGAAAAAAAGATGATCTCTGCTTCAGACACCAACCAGCTGATCAAGTGCCACTTGCTTTGAGTAGCCAACAGAAGCAAGAACTCTGCTCACTACCTGATTAATATTAGGAACTAGAGGTTCACAATGAGAGCCAATCGAAACCCTAAATCACAAACCTAATCCTTGTTCAGGAAGAAGTTTAGTAAAAGGCTTACATGAATAACCCAAAGATTTTAATAAGAAATTGTGGTGTCACCAAGCTGCTCTTCAGCTCCATTGCAGCCCTCAGCTCAAGTTTGACACAATTCTCAGGCATCTTCCCATCAGAGATGTTTGGCCCTTTACACAGGACCCCATTAGCACAAGTAAGGCCAAGCTGTACAGGGCTTGGAGCTACCCAGCCTAGTGGAAGGTGTCCCTGCCCATGGCAAGGGATGGAATGAGATGGGCTTCCAGGTCCCTTCCAATCCAAACCAGTTTGGGATTCTGGGATTTTGTGTACCAGCTGGTTAAACAGCCAGTCCAAACCTCATGTTCTATTTATGTCCATGAGCTGCCCCAGGTACCTCAATAGGTGAAAGGACAACAACCCTGAGCCACATCTGCAGAGGAAAATGGTCTGTCAGTAATGTGAGGAAATCCCAGCTCACACCACACACTGGTTTGCCATACCAGGATGAAAAAGTGCCACATATTCCCACCTGCCTCCAAGCCCTGTGCTTTCAAACCCATTAGCTGAAAGTGGTAGTTCCAGAAGGAGAAGTGAGTGGTGGATTTGCCTGCTTTTGGCAGTTTTTTCATGCTTTCATATGGGAAGGAAGACACTCACCACAGAGCTCATTCAAGAAACTGGCAAGAGAGAGCACATCTCACACACCTGGCCTCAGACAAACCTCTCTGCCACACTCCAGCAAAAACCAGGCAGTGTGAAACAGCATGAGAGCTGCTTGAGCTCATTTAACCAGTCACAGGCCTGGCACAGCTATGACCTAGCAGATCCAGGCAGCTATCAGACTTCTGCAAAGCTAATGCAACACTAGGAAGAAGGAAACACCACCACTCCTTGAAAAGTATGTTTTTCCATCACTTAGCACTTCCTGGATTCCCTCCAGAGCCAAGTTTAACCTTGTGGCCCTGATTTAACAGAATCCCTCCAGAGCCAAGTTTAACCTTGTGGCCCTGATTTAACAGAAATGACTTTATTGTTCAGCCAGTAAGAGCATGCACAGATCACTGCCATGAAGATGTATGCAGAGGGACCACCTAAGGACATATCCAGGACAGAAAAGGCTTGACAGGGTAACCCTGAAGAAGCCATGAAGGGTTCTCCCTCCACTCCAAACAGCAGCACTAATCACTATGAAAAGTGAAAAGACACACATTTTACACTAAGATTTCAAACTGGAGTACCCAAAAATCAGCTTCTTAAAAGAAAAGTGAGGTTCTTTCTGATGTGTTTTAATAATAAATACAAGTTATTATCAACAGTGTAAGACTTCACTATTCTTCTGGAGAATGAACAAAAGGTGTGATGAAGTGTGTGCAGTTTTAGCATAGGTATGATGTTAATTGTCCCTTTAGGCTTTCTGCTATCCACCCATGAGCAGGGAAGGACAGAAAACTTCTTGACAGAAGAGGTGCAGGAGCCCAGTAAGTCCCAAAAGCCAGCTTTTACTACTTGGGATCATGCACACTGAGTACTTCTTTTGTTAAGAATACCAAACCATCTCTTCATAGGGGTCTGACAGCAAAGATGTTGCATCAAAGATTAGAGCAGTTTTGACAGGACTGAGGCCAGAAGCAGACTGACAGGGATTAAACATTAAGGAAAGACCCAAGCTAGCTGAGAAGGAGAAGAGGGGGGGCTCACAAGGGATAAAAGTCATATTTACAAGTCCTTCACACTCAGGAGAAAGACAAAGGAAATAACTACCCTCAGGCAGGCTTGTGAAGATACTTTTAATACATCTGAAAAGAATGCATATACAAAGAACTTAAGACATGAAAAAGCATTGGTTCAACACTAATAAGTCTACAAGAAATTGAAATTTTGGAAGATGGAGAAGATTCCCTAAGTAGAACTTTTTGAATTTGCAAACCAAAATATATTTTTGGTAAAATCCTTATGATACTGCAGATGGTCTAGGTAGAGACACTGCATGTGATCCTCAGGAGTTGGAGCCCCTCATACAGGTTTCAAGGTTACTCATGAGCAAAATGCAGAAAAAGGGGTTCCCTCAACTGGTCCCGATATGGTGTCATACCAAACACCAGAAGCCCCTCCCTGCACTTCCTTTCAACTGACACAGGTCTCTTTCCACCCCTCCTCGGAGGATGCCAAGCCATCCAGCGAGAGATGCACCATCAGAGCCAGCTCCAAAACCATTGTAGCACATCCCAGGTCCCTTCAGGGTGTCCAAGCAGCAGTGTATGTGCTGGTCATTGTAAGTATTTAATAATTAAGGATTGGCAGAAGGTAGATTCATTAAAAGCCAACTGACCCAGCTAGGCATGTTTCCAAAGGCGCAGTTATTTCCTCAGCATGAACCAAAAGATTAAGGAAGAGACCAGCAAGTTAGTTTCAAGTCTGATGGTGCATCCAGAGAAAATCGTTCTCCTGTTCCTAAGGCTTTATAACTTAGAGGATGGGGTATAAATTTATTGACCTGCACAGTTAAAAAGCCAGGGGAATAAGGTACAAGGCAACTTCAGAGAAGATTTTCTATAATCCTTCTCAGAGGAGCACCAGCTTGGGACATTTTGCTTTCCTGACTAAAGTCTGCTCACACCCAGGCTGTTGGTTGGCTGTAGAACAGCCCTACAAGGTTTAGAAACCAGAACCAAGTCTTGCCACACTAGCATAAGGGGCAAGACTTCAGTTAAACAGCCTAAAATTAGTCTGTTACAGAAAAAGTCATTGAGCATGCCTTGATGTTAAACAAAAAAAAATTAGAAACAATAAACAAAATAAAAAACTAGTAATGATCAGTGTCTTCTGATAATACATAATTACTCAAAATTAACTAGTTTAACTGAATTGAGGGGGCACTGGGGAATAAACACTAACATTCTCATCTCACACAGGGGTCGTGTGGGGGAGATGGGAGTGCAGGGCATTTGTCATTATTGCAAAAACAAATTTTAAAATTTGTATCTTTAGTTTGATTTTAACATTGCTTTTAGTATGACATCAAACACCAGCTTTGCAGAAGGGGCTGTGGAGGGACGTTCATAGCAGCACACACCTGCGAGTCTTCTTCGGCTCCGGGGGCTCCAGGGCAGCCAATATCGCTTCGTCAAATACATTCTTTAGGCCTTTCTGAAAAGGGGCAAAGAGAGAAAGGGGCAATCTCATTTTTGAGTTTTCACACAAACAAAACCCCAGAAAGCCATGTGGCAGCCACACCCCTCTAAGGACACACGGAGATTTGCCATCCCCAAGGCCTGCCTGCCCAGTGAAGCTCAGTACCACTGCTCTCAGCAGCTTCTGAGCACAGCACCTCATTTTCAGAACAAGAAAAGGAATCCTCAGAGAGCAGACCAGTGTACTTCACAAGAAGCAAAACACGCACCAAAGTCATTTCCTTAAGGCAGCTTTTATGAGTAACTGGCTACTCACATATTTCACATGCTAATGACAAAGTAGAAAGTGCTGCATTCGGATGGAAGAGCTCGACCTGGAGCACACCTGGGACAACACACACCCATGTGTCAGTGGAGGAGAGACAAGGCAAGCATGCAATGATAACCTGGTCCAGTACATGCTCTGCTTGGGCATCCAGCCCCAAACACCCCAGGGTTAGAAGCAGCCAGGCAGAGCCCAGAAGCTGCCACGGTAGCAGAGAAGTCAAGCTGGGAAGAGTACAGAGGGGTACCACACACTCTGGTAAGGATTAAACTGGAGCCAGGAAATGCAACTTGAATAAAGCTTCATCAGTCATTTATACAAACAACCGCAATTTTTAATTTCAAAATTTAAAGACAAGCTACAATTGATGTTTTTTCCTTAAAACAATAAAAATCAGAAGCACAATAGTAAGCAGCAGCTTTACATCTTACAGTAACAGGCTTTAAGGATCTATTATTGAAATGAAGAGCTCTACCATGTTAGTGAAAGCAAGAATTTTAACAGTTCATAAAGCAGTAGCAAGTACATCAATATTTCCTTCCCCCCAAGGACTGACAGATACTCCACTATAGCACAGACAGCCAAAGCAACAGCAACAGAAAACATCTCACTGCACACAGGAGAACCAGAAAACCCTTCACGTTACAGCATCATTTGCAGATCACCAGTTCAGGTACTTTTGTCATGCAAATACAGTCAAGAGTCACAAGTAGAAATGGAAAAACACACACATTGTTTCTTCCAGTTGGATTCAGGAAGATCAAACATCATCTCTTATTTTTTTGGTCGTTCTTTAAATAACGATGTAACCAAATCCTTTCCCTCAACAGCCTGAATTATAAAGCTAGCCACACCTGGCAACCCAAGCAGCAGGGAGTTAAGCGAGTCCAGTTCACGTTCCACAGTCACAATGTTTTACTAAAGATCTCAAGTACTGTTTTCAGTCCAAGAGCTAATACAGAGGTTGCTCTAAGATGGCAAGCAGGCACAACAGCTTTCAATCAAGGTGGTTTGATTCATTTTTAACCAGGTTTCTACAGTAGTGGGACAGAGGAAGCAGCAGCAAGAGGGGAAGAAGAAAGTTTAGAATATACAGCACTTCCTTTTGGGCTGAGTTTCCGGAGGCTCGAGGGCAGCTAGGATAGCCTCATCAAACACATTCTTCAGACCTCTCTACAAGACAGAGGGGAGGAGAAAAAACAGCAGCCAGGTTAGAGGATTAGAGAAAAACAAGCAGATACAAAGAGCATTCAGGAGCAGGCTGAATTCACAGAGGCAGTAAACAGATTTACTTTGCAAAAAAACAAAGTAGATCCCAGGAGAAAATCTCATTTAGATGACCCAGAAGTCAATGACAGAGACAGACAGGACATGTGACAGGCCAAGTCAGACAAAATCAACACTCAGAAGGGCAGAGGCACAAACACAGCAAGAACATGGGGGCGGGGGCCACACAAATGTTGTGTGATGTGTACACACAAATGTATGTGTGTACTGCTGTACGTACACTGAGGGAGTTTACAGGGAGTAAATCAAGCACATGGCAGCTTGCCCCACCACAGGGACCCAAAAGGTCAGTTAAACCTTTTGTTGTCACCCACTGTGGATAAGTGAACACCTCGGATGCACAGACTACTGCTCCCAACTCCCAGCTGGCAGCTGGTCCAGAGCAAAGGCTCCAAACAACTCCTCTGCTTTGTGAATTCAGCCCCTGAATAACTGAAGGTCTCCAAATGGCTGGGAACACACAGTGTGGGATGGAAGCAGGACCACCCTGGTAAGCCACCATCACCGGCAGTCACTCACTCTCAGTCTTTAGAAGCGATTCAATACCTTACCAGTGCTACTCTGACACTGGGAGCCAGCATGGAAATGGTGCATTTCAGTTATTCAGTTTAGTTGCCAAAGCAAGTGTAACCACACAAAGCCAGGAACAGCGTTAGGAGTGCAACAACTGGGATCCAAGAGCAGACAAGCAGCCACAGAGCTGCAGGACTCTGCAGGGGTGACACGGAGAATGCGCTGCGTTCGCTGTAAGCACAACGGGAACAGTGCAGGGCCTTTACCACTCCCACCCAACTCTGCCAAGAACACACCACACCAGAAGTGAAACCTGGCTCACTTTAGGCTAACTGGACTCGCCTAAATCTACTGTCATGAGTGCACCCTTCGAAAATTGAGGAGAACTGTTTTATGATAGCTGAAGGCAAACAGAAAAGCTTCATTTACATCCTGTAAACAACTGCGGTCTGTGCAAAATTTAAGACTTGTTTTAAGATCATTCAAATGAAACTGGTTTCTCCCCTACAGGTTATACTGGATATATCCCTTTTAGAAGGTCTATAATCTTGTTTTACTGAAGCACATACATAGGAGATCTCAAAGGCAGTGCCATCTGGAAACATTTAACATTACATGCAAGATTATACTTGAAAGAACAATAGTTTAGGGAAACTACAATGTACATTCTGTGCATTCTGTACATCCTCCCTAGCAATTCTTTTTCTTTAAATGAGTTGCAACTCAGGGTCAACAATTTTACTTAAATTCTCCTATTCAGGGACTTCTGGGAGAAATTTGTTCAGGAGTGCAGAATTTGGGATTTGTTTTGAAGGACCTAGCAAAAAGAAGGAAAGAGGATAAAAAAACCAGGACTGGGACAAAACAGCTGTGAAAGTGAATGAGGGTTAAAATCATGACTTTTATGTTTCACTG